TTTGCCTTATTTTCTCAATTAAAAATATTATGATTCCGGCATACCTTCTTATCATTTAATACGTCGCCGTTTTCTGCAAATTTCTCTGCCAGTTTTGGAAATATCTGTGTATTATTATTATTCATACTTGGAGCGAAAAAAAATTTTAACAATTGGACAATAATTCAACCATAACGTTGTTTACTAATATGTCCAACATAAACATATTTTTATTTGTCAGTAGGGGCATTCTTTTAAATTATATAAAAATTTCTCATTCTTGCCTATTTGTCAAAAAAGGAGCGTGCTAAAATATAAGATATTTTACATCATTGTAATCGGAATAAAATATTTTATTTTACATTTATAATATTCAGAGGGTGATGTCAGAAAATTGATGGTGTTTTGTTTTATACGCCACTGAAAAGAAAATGATACCTTGCCAAATAAGGGCCACACTAGTGAAAACTGCATTTCGATATATATTTCCTCACTTTCTTAATGTGTCGTTCTTCAATTTGACATTGTTTTAGCATTTTTTAGTTATTATTATAGATAGAAGAAAAATTATCTAAGTAATGATATTGAAAATTTTCAGTTTTCATTCGGATCTAAAATTGAGCAGAGAGGAAAAATATTGCTACGCTGATAAAAATCTTTTGCAAGGAAACGTATTAGATATCGTTTTTAGCTGTTATTTGTTAAACGTCGCCGAAATTCCAACAATGATGTACGTTTTTATTTATCGGTCTCTAAATTATAGACGCCGTGTACGCGACAGGAATCGGTACAACGCGTTCCGCGGTTAATAAAGGCGGCACACTCAAAAAAAAACCGAGATAGTCGTAATTTTCAGAAGTGGGATCGGGAAAATTGAAAGAGATGGTTTCCGGGCGTTGTCGGGGCGTTAGCAGCGGCGTCGGCTTCTGTATTCGGCGAGAAACGGAATAACGTATTTCCCTAGCCCGTAAATAATTTACCACTAGGAAGCAATTGGAGCCGGGAGCCTTTATAATTTCAGAAATAATTACTCCTTTATGTACGGGTGGTAGACGCAACGTTGCCGGTATAATTTGATTGTGCGTAGGTTACCGCGTCGGTTAACAAGGGTTTTCCCACTTTGAAGTGTTTTATTTACCCACGTGGAACCGCCCACTTTAATTAAATAAAATCGAACAATAATAACAGAATATTACAAAAATCGTAAAACTTTTAATAATTATTTAATTGAATTATTTCCCCTCTTGAAGGCTAGCCATTTAAAAAAGAACACTGGTTTCTTGTTTATTGTTATTAATGAAATCAAATAATTCAAAATGAAATGAAGGAGCCATTCAATTAATAAAAAAATAACAAACAACACAACAGACAAACAACAAAAGGATTTTCTAAATCAAAATGCTTGTGACTAATTTATCATTTCAATCAAAATATAATTATCGTATAAATAACAATTTGTGTCGCAAACCATCAGTCAATCTTCAAGCAACTATGGTTTTTCTATAAAATTTGTGTAAAATGTGTAAAAGTACATTACAAAATTGATAATCGAATCAATTGTTTTTTTAGGATAATTAATTATTAGTATAAAATATTAATAATTTATCGTGTAGTTTTATAGATCATAATCGCAATTATTAATCAATCAATCATTGTTGTTAACAATAACAATCAATCATGATTTCTTGTTATAGATATTATGAATTATTACACTGATAACTGAATAGATCAATATTAATCATCAATCCATCAATGGTCATTGATTACAGATTGTTATTTATTAGGTAGTCCACTGACAACTGACTCTATCACCAACCAATTCATTGTGATTGGTAACCAATTCAATCAAATTGACTAAATTATTCGTAATTATCAATAAAAATGTATTTATTTATTTATCAGACGGGCACGCTCATAATCAGTTAAACTGTCTTAGTTATCAATCAATCAACCCAGATTCCTTGATTTATAAAATAGTAATTATTAATTAAATATTCATAATTTTCGTAATAATCAAGCTTGATTGTATGATCATTTTCTTTTCCAGCAGTTACATGGACCAAAAACTTTATTATTTTTATTTTTTTACTCATTTTTTCGCCGCGAAAATTGTCAAATGCGTCTTTCTAATTTTATTTGTAAGCAAGGTGCCTCAAAGTCTAGTATTAACTCGGAACTTTGGCTAGAAACCCGGAGTTGGCCCTTTCGACCGTCCCCCATAGCAGCAAACTTTGTTGGTGTTGTTTTGATCATCCGTTTGAAATGTGAGGAAAAATCCCTAATAAAACTACATTGGCGTACGAGACGCACGGGGATCTGGGCGTCCATTAACGTGATTAATGCACGACCGATCAGTCTCGGTCACTACTTGCGAAATTCGTCCGACTTGCGTGACGTAAAGTGACGACGAAAACAAACGACGGTCGGGCAAAAACCGACGCCACCTGATGTGCGCCTCTGCGAACGGCCTTACGTAATTTTTCAAGCCGTCTGTACATCCAGTTCGAGTTTTACTTCCATTTAATTTTGGTTCTTTATTAAACAGGATAAATTACAAATTAACTGCAGGTTTATTGAAAATGTAAAAAAATCCGTTATTTTGTATATTTTGAAGTTTTGCTAGTATGTGTTTTGTTTTCTATAAATCCAAATTCGAGAGTAGACTCCGTTGCGAAAAATAAAAAGAGTATAAATGAATGAAATTAAAATTAATCCTTACTAATACAAACGAAACACAAATAAAACTTTTTGACAGATGTTTGGGTGATTTCAAAAAATTCTATGCATTTATTTGTATCACGCAAGGTTTTTTTGCAAACATTATTAGAAAAAAAACATATTTCGAAAAAAAAACTCAGTAAAAAAGTGATATCCTAGTAAAAAAAGTTAAAAAATAAAACATTGCTCAGACTTTTTTGAGTGAAATCTTCGTCTTTTTGTCAGAGAGCTGCGTTGTCCGAACATTCAGCCAAGATTTTTAGGAAAATAGTTCAAGTGTGAAAACAGCATATGGCACAATACGCAACACGTTCGGTAGACTTTTTAACTCACTGGTTTATTAAACTCTCGCTCCGCTCGTGTCAAATAAACTCGTGAGTCAAATGCCGTTTACCGAACTTGTTAATTATTACGAAACCGCAAAACAAGTTAGATGTTTCCATTTACCATAAACTTTCACACACGGACACAGTCATACATAACAGCTCAAGTCACCCTTATACACACAAGATGGCTGCATTTCACTCTTTTATACACAGATTGCTTAACACGCCACTCTCAACAGAAAATTACAACAAAGGACTTAATATCCGTCCATTATCCAAAATTATAAATATAAAACAAATCCAGACATCAGTAGACTCCATTTATTCGAAACCTAATACATAACACGAACAATTTAAAACAATTACATACATAGGCGAACCTAGTGAAAAAGTTTCAGAACATTTGTCAAAATGTGGTTTAAAAATAACTTTCAGAACTAACGACACAATAGCAAATTTTTTAAAAAACAATGAAACGGAATGTCCAAAATTTCAAAAATCATTTGTCTACAGGTTGAAATGCGGAGCTTGTCCTAAAAGTTATATTGGACAAACAGGTAGATCCTTCAAGAAACGCATTAACGAACATAAAAGAGCTTTTAAAAACAATAATCAAGATTCTAATTATGCTACACATTACACATTTTTGACGACAATATTGATATTTTACATACGGCCACAAAAAGTAGAAAATTAAATTTATTGGAAGCCATGGAGATTAACAAAATGAGACATTCAAACGATCCAATAGATTTAAATACCTCTCCATTATTAAACTTAAATTCTCACAATATTAATTAAAGTTTTATTGTCATTTTCCGGTATATATAGTAGCAGGTAGTTTGCTTAGACGCGGTGTCGTCGAAACAATTATCATGAAAATATTCGTGAAAGTCTGAACTTTTAGTTGTCATTTATTTTGTTAAATGGATTTTCATCAAGTAAAAGCCAGTCCAAGTTATAATTTAAGTGGTTTCTTCTTAGTAAAATTGCAAAAAAGTCAGTGGCTTACATGTATCTGACAAAACCTTCTCCCACTGTTTTGTTTGTTGTTTCCAAAAAAATATTTGACACTCGTATTTTGGAAACCAGGCATTTCCTACGTTTATATTACCATTTTACAGCCTTTAAAAAACTATAAAATCTAACATGGAAAACTTTTTTCCGCTTTCTGGTTATTCGCTTTTCCTTACTAATTTTTAAAGGGGTTTCTGTAGAAACATTGTTATGTCAGAATATATTACGGCACGCCTGACCGTACATTTTATCGGAGCTGTCCCGCCATGGAGTTGAGTTTCAAAACAAAATTTTGACACCAAAGGGCCCCAACCCAAAAGTTACGAACACACTTCGACAACGTGTGGAATATTGCATGGGTAACAATCATTTTCAGCCCCCACCGAAAACGTATAATTCCTCGAAAGTTGGTCGGGAACCGGTCCTCAATGATAGCGGTGCGGGGAAGGGGAGGTTTTGTTTTACATCGAGAGTTTGGTTACATCGAGTGAAAAACACACCTTTAAGCTGATTATACCTAAAATAATCACTGTTTTTTTTCATGAAAACACTGACTGAGATTCGGCGAATCACTTAGAAGTGATCGATCGATGGCAAAATTCTCATGGTTCCGACATCAAATGACTACCCAGCTTATTAAAAAGGGTGACGAAAACAGCAGTCAACCCACCGCAATATCGTTTAACGTCGTTTGTCAGCAACGGATATTGATTGATAGTTTAAAATTTCGATTTAATTATAGTATACAAAAAAACTGCCCTTGAAGATAGTAGGTTGACTGATAGCGTTTTGTGACCAAATTCTGAGCAAATCTTCTTGTAGAGTAATTTTTAATATCGAGGTGTAAAAAATCAAGAATACATAATTTCATTGACTCCCTAAAGTTATAGCTTAACTTACCGTATCTATGTGATCATTAAGTCAAAATATAAATTAATTAAAGTCCCTTGTGCAACTCACCTCGAAACTAATCAGTCCGCTGTGGTCTTGATCTAACGTGTTGAACACAAAATGGGCGTATTGGCTGGAATTCGCTGAAACAAAAGGAAGGCAGCATTTTATTCATGAAATTTTAAAGTCCTCATAATATTAATTTTTCATAAAGGACTGTCTGTTTTCAATTGCAATCAAGTCGCCTTGTTTCAATTGACAGTCAGCGTCTACGTTTTTAATAAAAGCGTGTACTTTATGTACCACTTGTGTGTAAAGAAACTGTTACAACCATTTAGATGGAATCCAAAAATTGATTTTTCATAATGGAAAATCGATATCAAGGTTTTATTAACAAGCGTCCAAAAATTCGTAAAAAAATGAATACATTAAAATCGAATGATAATTTTTAAAAAACATCCAAAACCATTTGTGAGATTATTGAACTTTTAGAACAATTTAATAATTATCTTTCATATTTAAACACAATTAGCCTCTGCAATGCGCTACTCTGACCTTGTAAAGCACAACAAAAAGAGGATCAAATAATTTAGAGAAAAAAAAACAGAACCTGAAAATATGTCCCATATATAATTTTATATTTCAGGTCAGTTGAACCTACAAAAATGCTTCTTTCCTTTTTAATGTGGAACTGTGTAGAAATTAAAAAAAAAAATTCAAATTAATTTTTTAATTAAATTAGTAATAGGTCGAGTTTAAACTTAATTTACTTGGTCAGTGATGAAGATTTATGTTGTACTTAAAAAAACCAGGCATATTTTTGGCAAAACTATAATTTTCGTCAGTTTTTCTCTACGCCGTGTGCGCTCTTTTAAAACTAAATTGGCCTCTGTACGGTACCGGTATTAAACGTGCATTATTCGTTTTCTCGCCGTCACCGGAAAAGCGTGCGCCAATTATACCGCACCAGGCTCGGTTTTACTCGTTTTCCGAAATATTTGCGACCCCCGGATTGATCCGGGCGCGGTTTTTCAGCGACACGCGTCGTTTAATGTCCGGTATTTTACGGCATAACACGGACCTCGGATGACGTCCAAATGCATCGTCAAATTACATAATTTAACCCCCGACTAATAATAGAGCAGTGACTGGTTCGTCGCCTGACGAAGGTTTCGATTTTACGAGGGAAACCTTTTGTTCGACCGGCAGTTATGTTTTCGACCGCCGAAATCGAGTAAACTCGCAAACCGCAACAATCAATCAACATTTATATAAATCAATCGAACCAGTGAGTGCACGACCCACGCCCTGGGTCTTTACCGGCTGCTGCTCCCCTTTTTGGGCCTCAAATTTAATTAAATTCGAATTATAACAATTCCCTTAATTGGCAAGGTGCGGCTCCGCTACCCGATCTGCGTCGTACGATATTACCGCCTTCTAATTACCCATATGAGCATGGCTGGGATTCTTAGGTATTATTAGATCCCTGCGAGGATGTAATGGGCTGAGGATGGGACAGGTTAAATGAAACCCGAAGTCTAATAAGCCCCCACCCCGCGTTCAATTTGCCGACGCGGTGCTGTATTAATGGCCACCGCGTTAAGCTATGGAAATTTCTGTAATATATACAGCGTTGTGTGATTGATTAAATCGAGCCATAATTGATTGCGACCGTCAATCTTAAACCACACGTTTTCTGTTATTAAGACAAAGGTAGCAAACGCTCAAGAAAAATCGGATGATTGATTACTGATTAACAGACACCAATCAAATTGCTCTTAAGTGATACTAAACAATCAACTCAGTAAGCAATATTAAACTGAAACTAATCAACTGAAATATTCAATCAAATAAGGAAATGAAAACTAATTAACTGAACTAATCAATCAACACGTTGTACTCGTATTATATAAAGGCAACAAACCTTCAATAAAAATCTGTTGATGTATTATTGAGCAACAAATCAATCAAATCGGACTTCAGTCCTACGCAGTAATTTATATTTTTGAATGTTGCATTGGAACAGCGGTTAAACTCAAACTAATCAACTGAAAAAATCTATAAATACGTCAATTAACGCAGCTACTGGTGATTGTTTGGTATAGGTATTTCATTTATTCAAATAATGTGTTAATTGCGATATGTATTATATGGAGCGTTGTTTATTTGATTAATTTGGGGCGTGATTGATAGCAAAGGCTCAAAAAAATAATTTGATTCATTACTAATTAACATAAATCAATCAAATTGTTCTTAAGTGATACTAAACAATCAACTTAATAATTCATATTTTTAAATATTTCACGATAAAACTCTAACTAATCAACTTTAAAAAATCTATCACTACGTCAATTAAAGTAGGTACAGGTGATTGTTTGATATCGCTATTTAATTTATTCAATTGTGTTAGTCACGATATGTAAAATTTTGTATTATATGCAGCGTTTCTTGATTGATTAATTTGGGGCATAAATCGGTTGAGGCATTACTGATTAACATTAATCAATCAAATTGCTCTTAAGTGATTCTAAACAATCAACGCATTAAGTAATATTGCTAAATATTACTTAACTGAATTAATCAAACAACACGTTGTATTTATATTCTACAAAGGCAGCAAACGTTCAATAAATATCGGTTGATGGATTATTTATAAATCAATCAAATAGAACTTAAGTCAAACTTTTCAATCAACTCAGTAATTCATATTTTTAAATATTTCACGATTAAACTCAAATTAATCAACTTAATTTTTTTTATCACTTTCAATCAAAATCGGTTGAGTGAATTCTTTAGCAATAGAAATCAATGAAACTGTTTAAAAGTCGTAGTTATCACCTTCATCGATAGTATTGCTGAATATTTCACTGGAAAAGTGATTAAACTGAAATTAATAAAAGCGTTGATATATATATATATATATATATATATATATATATATATATATATATATATATATATATATATATATATATATATATATATATATATATATATATATATATATATATATATATATATATATATATATATATATATATATATATATATATATATATATATATATATATTATAAATATATTATAAATTAAGTTGAGTTGATTGGATTGATTGGCTTCTTATTGTTACAATGTTTTGAAAAAAATGTAGAGCCACCCTTCAGTTAATGAAATATTATTAAAAAATTAATTAACAATGAACAGTCAGACTAAAAATTCCTGGGGGGAAAAGTTTAAAAGGTAATTTTTTTCCTTTCTAAAATTTTTAAGAGCGCGCACTCGTACAGGGCCTCGCGAGCACGAAGATGATTTGCCCGGATTTTTCACTCAGCTCAAACATCCGTTTCGCCAGTAAGCGTTTTCTCGAGTGGCAAAAATGGCTATTAATTATGCCGATGAGATCGGAAACAACGAAGGGGGTTAATTTCGTTCGGAAAAAGTTAACCACAATTATAAAGTAGCATCGATAGACAGCGGATTTTCGATGAACCGCTTCTAGGAATTATTCTTTTGAAGGCGAATTTATAAATTTAATTAGAAGTCTAGCCGCGGGGTTTCGGTTGTAATTATGACTTCTTAAGTTTAGCAATTAAAAAATTTTCCCTCCATCCATTCAGTCCCCTGGTGGGACATTGTCCCCCTATATACGAGGAAGGGAGCAGGTCAGATGTTTATGGTATCATTCTTCTAAAACGTGGCATTAACTTTAATATTTTAAATTGAATATTATTGGATTTCCCCTTTTGACAGCGATTTCTGGTAGTTTTTTAGCCATTTTAGAGATATTATATTTATATTTTAATTGGTAGAGATCTGAACTTTCGCCTATGGTTTATGAACGGTTCATTCAATAGTTTTATGTAGATAAGGTCACTCCGTCATACACAAAAGGGCTCAAAATGTGCGATTATAGCGACGGAAATAAAAATAACGAAAAATTAATTTTCTCACTACTAACCAACAAACCAATCAAACAGCAAAAGAAATTTTATGATGCGAAATATTATTTATTAATAAAAACTTCACAATCAGAATTTGAAACTTTAAGTTTTTAGTAAAATTAGTATATTCATTAAAATGAATTTTTATTTGTTTTAATTTGTTTTTATTTATCCTTTATGCACGCTAGATCGGTGTATTATTGGGTATTTTAGAAGAAGGGAACAAAAAAATTAGACTTTTTACGTTAGGAAAGAACATAATTTTTTTTTTCACATCAAACAATGTCTCTTGCTGCTTGAAAGTAGTGTACACTGTGTGCCAAATAAAACGATCCGCTATACGATCTAGAAACAAAAAAAAAGTTTCTTGGACTCTCCTGAAGATTTAAAATGTTATAATTTTGTTGATACAGGGTGTCCCAAATTACAACAGGGATTTCTTAAGAAAGTGACCATTTATTTTAACCAGTGATTTCAAATATGTCGAATAATATATACATTTAGAATAACAAAGTTGATGTTGGGGGCACTTTTGGGACACCCTGTATCAACAAAATTAGAATATTTTGAATTCAAGAAACTTTTGTACGAAACTTTTTACGTATCTCCTATGGGTTTGTAGATCGTAAGGTGGATTGTCAATGTCAATGAAATAACTAGTATGGTTTTAGAATTATGAAAAAAATGCATTTTCTTTATAATTTCAATATGTTCGGCGGAGAACATGCAATAAAAACTTAGTGCATCAATTTTGGAACAACACCCTGTATAGTGAACTAATCTGGAAGACAATTGAAGCCCCTTCAAATGAAATATCATGTGCCCGTGCGTCAATATGAAGGAAATAAAAGCAAGCCATGAAATTGTCAATCAATTCGATTGAAAAACGAGAAAATCTGACAGTTAATTTAACGTGCCATCCCCTGAGAATCATCCCTATATAGATATAACGCATTTTCAAAAATATTCGCCTAGTCTGGCAACGTTGTTTGTGATTAATATCGTTTCTATCGAGGGAGGGGCGGGGGGTGGCGAACCCCCAATTTGGCGACACCATTAATCAAGTCTCCGACGCCCACTTTGCAAATTTAAATTAAAACAAAATCGACGAAAAGTCCAAGTCTACCGAACAATGGGTGGTGTTTATTCTACGTGTTTCGGGACTGTCAAACGGATTCGCACCGGAACGAGTTTTTCCGGAATATAAATTGCGCCCAAACTTCGCGCCATTTTGAATACATTATGGTGACGGGGCGAACGCGTAATTCACATTAAAAGTTTCCTCGTCGGTTCGGCGGAGTTGTTCCAAAATTATCAATGAAACCGGCAGGTATTTAAAAACTATTTTAATTTTTCCAAATATTTACGCTAGACCGCGCGGATCGGGTGTTTTATGAGCGGAAACGAGCCGGGCAGAAACGAATACTTAGCATTTTTTTTAGTAGGAAAACAATCCGAAAAGTATTAGTGAGAGTCCCCTAGCACATAATTGAAAAATTCAAAGAAATCCTCGCTGGTTTTGGATTTTTTTAAATGGGGTTACCATTTGTTTAAAAAATTTGATACGTAAATCAATTATTTTTAATTACATTTAGTTAGCGAAACTCCTCACAAAAAACAGAATAAATTACAGATTCATTTAATACACTATCCAATTAATATCATAATCAATTAGGATTTTTTCGTAATTAGCATATTTTATTTTCGATAATATTCAACGCAATTAGATGTAATAAAATTTTTAGGCGAGCTTGTAAAAAAAGTAATAAATTATGGATTTAATTTTTAAAAACAATTAATTTATTGCTGGCGCGGGAAACAAAAAAGTGAACCCTACCCTAATATACTTCAAATATTTAAATTTAATTGAAATAATTAATTTTAACTACCACTCATGTGTTATAATGATAATACATAATAATAATAATAATAATAATAATAATATTAATAATAATAATAATAATAATAATAATAATAATAATAACAACATTAATAATTGTCTAATAATATAATCTTTATTGTCTAACAGATCCATTTCAAAAATATTTTCATTTTAAGAACTGTAACTATAACTATCACAACTGTATTCACTTCAGCAAAGTAATATAGGGTCCTTTATGTGGTAAACAAAAAACGTCAATATCATTGCAGAAGTCATTAAATAATTTCATCAACTGGTAGAGAGGACCTTTGATCGAGTTACCAGGTAAAATACAGGCGATGCCCTTACAGTCTTTGAAGGAACACTAATGAATTGCAAAGTTTATATAAAAACTACGATTCAACAGTGAGCGAACCTTAAATATTAGTAATAAATCACCCTGTGGTAGTCCCCTAGCTGGGTAGAAACCACTTACACGAAAGTGAAGTAATTTCAGAAACTTTCAATTTAAGTGATGTACTTACAAAATATTGGTTGCCTTACTGTTGAATCGGACTCTAGTTTCGAGCGCACATAACTATAGTATAAAGTCTTTTGACTGCACTTCTACAGGCTTCATCGACATCATTTCTGAAGGAGAGATTCTCCAATAATCTCCAAATCATTCTGCAGAGACGCACAGTCGACTACACTATCAATTATTTTAAACAATGTCACATCATCAGCAAAGAGCAAAAAGCATAAATAAATAATTCAGATATTAATTTAATTAGATTCATCTAGAGAGCCAGCTCTGGTCACTCCCTGAAATCTTTTCGAACGAACACAAGATTTTCAAGGGGTCAATGTTGGGTCCGCTATTATTCATTGTTTATGTTGATGACATGTCCGAATTCCTAAAGGATGAGAGAATCGCGCAATACGCAGATGATACTACATCGATTGTAACTGCTACAACAGTTGTCGAAATATCAAGTAAATACAGTAGGAGTGTAGGTATTCAGAAAACAATCTCAAACGCGAACACTGGGAGGTTATCGGCGAGGCGTGTGTTATTTATACACTGCGACGGAGGTGGTAACGTGGACGGTTAAATTTCGAGATATCTGAATTCCAGTCATCCAAGGATTCAATTCAATTTACAATAGAACTTAAAGAGGACAACAGTCTGCCTTTTCTAGATGTGCACATCACAAAGACCGAAAATGGACACTTAGAATACACTCTACACACTACACACACCAATATATATCTGAATGCTAAATCTCATCACCACTCATCACAGATACAGGAAGTGGTAAATACATGAATCGCTCTATCCTTCAGGTTCACAAACGAGAAGAACAGAGATGATGAACTGAGGAAAATTAGTACCTGCCTTGAGAAAAAGGAATTCCGAAAACGCACTATCAGCAAGGTAATCAGCAAGCAATAACAACCACAACAGAAAGTGCAGGGCGAGATTTAACGAAAATCTGGGATTAAATCAAGGGGATTACTGACAAAATTGGCCGAATATTACGGAACTACGGCGTACAAACCTTATTATTAAAACAATATGAAGAAACCCAAAACAAAAACCAATAAGTGTATAGTGTAGCTTGCAGATCGTGCAGTTTGACGTACGTGGGACAGGAGGATTTCAGCCAGGCTTGAAAAACATCGATTAGTCATTAGAAATAAACAAACAGCATCTGCTTTATTTCAGCACCCCCACTAAATATGCCATAAAATTGATTTCGGTACTTCCAAACAACCCTATATATTTATCCAATCCGTGGAAAACGATACTTAAAGTGATGCGCAGCAGTCAAATAACGCGACAATGTTGGGGGGGGCGGACCCTTCTCCCTAACCACCTCCGGCGGGTATAAATACCAGCCGCAACTTCGATAACCTCCCAGTGAGATCTTGGCGAAAGTTTTCTTGTTAACAGCCAGGTTAATAGTCATACGATGTTTGCCAGAAGACGGAATATTCTTTCAGTCATGTGTCTACTTTATATGAAAAAACACCAAAAAATATTATGAATATTTGTTGTCTTGAACTAGCCAACCAATTTTTTCCTTATATATTTTATATTACGTTATGTTGTCGAAAAATGTTATTTACTTGTTTATTGTACCTCTTGACAATGTAGGATTGACTGTGTAGGATTATATAACAATGGACTTTCTTTCGTTCTTTCTCTATGCGTCGGAGGAGAACTTACCTAAATAAAAAAAATAGGTTCATAAGAGAGAAATGCGAAAGCCACATTTTATGGGATTTTCGATCAAACTTGGCTTGGGTTATTTTTTTCGTAAGACTGTCGCGGGGATTTTATATTCCTTCGAGCGGCAATCTGCCTTTCCGAACCCATAAAACATTTATGTATTTCTTATCAAATTTAATCAAACACCCTGTTTACGAGTGACCTCGTAAAGAGACGCGATAAAACGCACAATATAATCGAATTAAAGCAGCGAACTGAAATATTTAATATCCGCCGTTAAGCCAAGTTTGCAGCCAAATAACCGTTAAGGATGTTGATTGGAGTCCGGTTTTATTCTAGCGCGAACTACGTTTCTAAAGTCGTCTCACCTCCCTGCGGAAAAAACTGAGCGTAAATCATCTTAAAGGTGTCCTCCCTCACCACACCGGTGGGGCACTCCGCCTTGAACCCCCTGTATATCCGCTTGATTTCGTCCTGGGTAAATCTCGTAGCTCGGCACAACGACTCCAGACTCTCCGGTCGGTATCTCGGCGGTGTCTCTAAGTCCTCTAGCTCGGAATCTGAAGAAGAAGATTCGCGAAATAACCTTAAACTGCAATCTATGTGTTTACTGCGAATTGGATTCAAAAATCCAATAAAATAAAGTAAATCTTTGTAAGTAATTAATTGAATGATTGATGATTAATTCACAGTAATCATGATTCAATCATTAGTCTAATCAGAACTCCAAAGAAACTGATCGATTGTTGTTGGATAAACGTGAATTGATAATCAACTCAATTCAACACTTCACTAAGTGTAAAGGAGTAAAGTAATAAATAGTAATTTAATCAATTATGTTCCGTCATCACAGATAACTCGCTTTGACATGCAAATCCACAGCAGACGCGTAGTATCTCGATTACAGCGGCAAAATGACGCGGAGTGAAATCGGGTCTGCCCGGCGGCCGATCCTATAGGTAAAACGCTACCAAGCACCCTTACCCTTGAAGTACTGGAACAATTTCATGAAGATTAACGTGGAAAACTCCGCGCGTGTGACTCGAGAGGCGAACTAAACGGATTTCAGCTTGCGTTATTTTTTCCTCAGTTTACAGAGATCGTGTTTATAAGAATTAATGTTCGATTAGTAACCGATAGCGCGAGTGTGGGTTTAATCATTTTCGCGCGTCGTACAGGGTGTCCCGTTTTCGCAGACCGACACTTTCAAGGTGCTCCGTTTTTTTTTGTTTTGTGTTCTAGCTGGGTGGGGACACGAGACGGCCATTCCTGCGCAATTTGTTTACATTTATTTGATTGGACGCTACGATTTGTAAGTGTTTGGCATTCCGATTTAATGAAACGAAAGCTGATTAAATTTTATTTGCAGCCGTTCCAGTAAAACCCGATATTTATTGAAAATTTCGAGCGAAAGGAAAATAAACCCGGAGATTTAAAAAGTGCCTATATAAACACGCCGAAATAATTTAGGGGACAACGGTACCAATCACAGAGCTTATCAATATCAATTGAAAAGAAGAAGCTTTTTAACATAACCTTCAAAAGACGACCTAAATTACAAAATGTACTAGAATAATTATTTAAATTTAAATACAGTGAAAACTTCCTACAGCGAAGCTCCGTATAACATACCGAGTTTCGCCGTTTGGTGTACTATTAGGTCTCCATACAAAGCTAGGTATTTCTCACTATCTATACCGAAAGAAAAAAGTGCACATCAGGTAACAAAGTAACGAATGCAGGCCGACTTGTAATTAATAAATTCTCTTACCTTCTGTGTTTTTCTCGTTATAATGCCTTTATCGGTATGTATAAAAGCATACCATTGTTTCAATCAGTTCTAATTTGACTTATTGAATACGGCGAGCATGGCGAATAAGCGAAAAATTTTATCTCCAGATGATAAAGTTGCTTTAATTCGGTAGATAGGACGGGGAGAAAAGAAAAGTGATGTGGGACGTCGATACGGACTTTATCCACGATTTGGAAGTTCAAAAAAAAAATCGTTCAGGCTGAAGCGGCAGACAGCTCTAGTAAAAAACTAAGAAAGCCAAAATTTGAAGATTTGGATCGGGCAATGTTGGACCTATCGTAAAACTAAAAGTAGTAGTAGTAAAAGAAAAAAAAGAGAGCTAGTCGTGATTGAAAAATCAACTAACCCACGATGTTTTAAGAACATCGGGCATTTGCCGGTCACTTACAAGGCAAACAAGTCTACATGGAAGGCAAAGGGGATGGGAAGGAATGGGATGCGGAATTAAAGGGGAGGAAAATATTACTTCTGTATGCCGATGGACTAGAACGTAATAAAAAGTTTTAAGAGTCGATACAGGAAAAACATTTTAATGGGAATGATCGAGTCCGAAGATAAATTTTCCAGTAATATGCTAGATGCAGTCAACTTTATTAAAAAAGGTTGGAAAGAGGTGACAGCAGAAACAATTCAACACTCCTATCGTCATGCAGACCGAGACAGAATGCGAACAGGACTTGGAAGATGATCAGCCACTAAGCGAGTGGATGAAGCAGTTTCAAACAACAATTACGTTTACAAGTGAGGAGTTGCAAGGTTTTATGGTGATAGGTCAGGATTTGCCTCCAACAGCAGACTTAATAGAGGAAACCATATTACAACAAGCAAAAAAAAGGGTGAGGAAGAGCACCAAGAGGAAGAAGAAGACGAAGAAGTTGATCTGGGACCACCACTAATCATTCAAGTTGAAGCTGCTAGGCTGCTAGAGAAATTTTCTATAAATAATGGGGAAGATGCCCCTCTCGAAGAAATGGTAAAAATGCAAGCCAACGTACGAGATGCGTATTTGCATACTAAAAAAATTCAAAAGAAAATGACCGATTATTTGAAACAATAAATATAGTTCTTAAATATTAAGTAGTAAGTAGTAAGTAGATGTTAAAATATGTATATAAAATAAATAAATATTTTACAACTAAAAAAAAGCAGTCGCTTTAATTTGGCTATAGAGTGTCGACTGTATTACAGATTCCAGTAGGAATATAGTTATGTGGTTATAATAATTTATATAGTTACCATTGTCTAGTGTATAGTTTACTTCATAACTTGAGCTTGTGGTAAGGGAACATGTGGTCTCGCTAAATACTCCGCACACAGTTATTTTGAAAATAAGCTTCCAAACTAATTTTCAGAGTTTTTGTTTTAAGCCAATTCACATTCCTGAGAAAGTCGCAGGTTATTGTAGATGCTGATTATTATTCCGCGAGTATTTTTGAATATTCCGTTCTTTTTTTTCCACTTTTTTGTATTTTTTTTTTAACTCAGCTGGAGTCTGATTAAAAACCGAAAAAAAGAAAGTCAGTGTTGTAATTGCTTGCACAGTTTCCTCCAAGTTGTCAATTTCTCTCCGTGTGTCGTGAAATAATGACGAAAATTAGCGTAAAAGTTGCGAGATACTGTCGAACGGTTTTTGCCCGGACAAGGATTAAAAATGGGCGTAATTTTGATAAATTTAAACAATTAAACTATAGCGTCCGGGGGGCAATTGTTAATGTCGATTTTAATTGATGGGCTGGTTTTAATCTTTCGCCTGTATGTTGTATAAAACGTCCGATTTATTTTCTACCTCGGTTTTGGTCAGGCCGAACCCACGATCGTATTTTACGAGCGAAACAATGAGGAAGAATTATTGCCGTTGGACTGTGATTACTCTACAACGTCCGTTGGATCTAATTTTCGTCGTTTTTTTCCATTTCCTCTGTTCCTGGCGTTTTATTTCTTTGAAGAGTAGAAGTAGGGGTGGATAAAATAAAATAAAATACTACTTATATTGTTTCAATTTCCGTTCCTACAAAAAAAAAACGTTTAGAATGCTTGCTAAGATGTTCCTAATATTAATTTCATAGTTATCATCTCAGTACTGCATTACCAAACACTCAAAGAGAAATTTATTTTAATTCTGCATTTTAAACATAAATTTTTACCTCCAACTTTCAGTTTCCTTTTAACTGCCTGCAAGCCTGAAAGTCACGTTTAAAATCTTATTATGTAAAATGTACAGGAGGAGCCCGAGAATTTTCGCTATTCTATGTACCACCTCCTTTACATCTCTGAATCCAGATTTGTTGAAGTTCTATCTTTAGATTTTACTGCCTCTATTCTGGCGTTACTGCAAATAACGTGGCATTCAAGACATATCTAAAAACATGGCAGACTTCCAATTGCCTTTATGTAGGTATGGTATGTTCATAGATATAAGAAAGTGACCAATTGCTTTTGAATGGAATTATCCAAGGGTGGTCATTAACATACAATGCAACAAGATTATTACCTAAAGTTTCGGAATTTAAATTCAGGTAAAGTTGTGGTCCGTAATAGAAAATAATTTAATACCTACCTTTGGTTTGGTATACTAGTTAGTTTAAGTTTATTAGTAATCATTCTTATTTCGTGTGTACTACAGCGTGAATTATGCAAAATATGTGCGAGTCTAGTGTATCTCAGGAGATGCTCCCGCCCAAATGCAGAAAACACTATTCTATTGAGACCAAGGAAGTTATAAACAATGTTTATGGACGAAAATTCCAAAATCAACTATATGGAAAATTGTGAATAATCCCATTTCAGCGAGGAAATAAAGAAGCGATGCTGACATTTTCTCGAGTGTGTTAAATATGGCAGAACTACCTTATGGAAGTGTACTCAACACATGGGTTTTAGATTTTAAAAAATTGACAAAAGGCAAGTTTTAATGGAATCTTTTAGATTTCGGAAATGGCGACTGCAATATCTAGAAAAATTAGGATTTACAGAGAACAACAAAGGCCAATTATTTATTTGGATGAAACCTGGTTCGACACTTATGATACTCCTGAAAAGGGTTGGGTTGACTCAACTGATAAGTGTAAAACAAACGCGCCATAAAAAAAAGATGTAAAAAAATAACTATTTTGCATGCTGGCTCTAAAGATGGTCGGATTATTAATGGACTACGCAAAAATTCTAGGCCATACAGTTTTAACGATTCCACCTTACCACTGTGTATTTAATCCATGAACTGAAATCTGCCAATGTCTTTCCCCGTGTTAACTTCAATGTCTTCAAACTTATAGAAAATGAAGTTTTTAACATCCCTCCACAAAATTGGGCAAATTCTGTTAAACATATATAAAAAGCAGAATAATCGTATATCCATATTGCAATAATATAGAACAAATAATAATTAGAACAGGCGACGATAGCGATAGTGATACTGATATATTATGTGAATAATTTTAAGTAATTTAAGTAGGTAATATAAATAATTTGTAATTTTATTTTAGTTTTAAACATAAATACATACATAAATAAATAAATATTGTTTAGTATCTTTCCTAACAAAACCACAAATAATTAAATTCTAAGCAAAGTACGGACCTGCTCGGCCATATTTCATTCTTACAGCTTGCCCGGGTCTTGCCTTAATTCGTATCAGTTTCTTATATCTATGAACAGACTTTACTGTTGAGTTAACTCCTCTGGTATTCCTACCATAGATACGTACCGTTACTTTTATTACTTTAGTAGTACATTTTCAACCCAAATTTT